GTAGGGGACTCTAAAAGGTGGAGTAAGGGACCACTTTCCTCGACGTCTTTGTGTCCAATCTGCCAAAAGAACATTTTTTGTGAGGTCAGGTACTGATGCTGGATGAGAAGACCCGGCTCACAAATGGTGTTCCAATGCGATCCTTTCGAGCATGGTGAGGGCGCGCTCAAAAAGGAGGAGCGGGGAGCCCTGGTAGGGGACTCTAAAAGGTGGAGTAAGGGACCACTCTAGTCGACGTCTTTGCATCCAATCTGCCAAAAGAACATTTGTGAGGTCAGGTACTGATGCTGGATGAGAAGACCTGGCTCACAAATGGTGTCCCAATGCGATCCTTTCGAACATGGTGAGGGCGCGCTCAAAAATGAGCTGAGAGCCCTAGTAGGGGACTCTAAAAGGTGGCGTAAGGGACCACTCTCCTCAACCTCTCGTTCCGACACTCTCTGGGTTGGCCTCACACCAGTTTTTTCGGTGGTTTCGGGTCCTCGTCTCAAATGTTGCTTCTGAAATTGGCTGAGAAAATGATACCAAATTGTTTTAAATTCCGCTGTAGATTCCTTTGTACAGGTGAAATTTCCATTTATACAGAAAATCTCTCTCCGCTGCAGTGTGAGCCATTAACGTTCACTTTCTCCCACTCTAATAGTGTCAGAGGGAATCTATCATAATACAGACAGATTCCCCCGTCCCGCGGATTAATGTACGCCAAGACGGCGGCACATATATATCGGTATCGTGCCCTGAAGGGATATACCATTTCCCAAATGGTCTCCTGTGTGTTTTACAATTGAAACGCTAACTGGCTATAACAGGCTCCTACATCAACGCCATAATGGTTCCCGCTAAATGGACAACTTCATTCTGCGCTCATGTAATTGTCCGTCTGAAATGGGATTTCGCCAACGAGAGACGGAAAATGAGCCTAAACACATTCGGATGGCATTACCGTGGGGAAAAGGATTTAAAGCGGAACTCCGGGCCAACCTCTAAACACATATAAGGGAACTGTTTAACCTGTCAACGGATTTGTATTTCCGTCCATCCCGTTCTGAGATTTACACAGCTCTGCCTCACAGCACTGCCCTTCTGGCAGGGCAGGAGACCTGATTTTTTTCTGCCGCAGTTCAGTCACTCCACTATTATTATTATTATTATTATTACTACGAGTTTATATAGCGCCAAAGGGTTTGCTCAGCGCTGTACAATAGGGGGGGACAATACATGGCACAGTACAACAACAACAAACAACGTACGAGGGGTAAGAGGGCCCTACTCTTACGAGCTTACAATCTAGGAGGGAGGGGGTAGCCAGTGACTAGACAGTGAGAAGAGCAGCAGGAGACTCTCAGTCACTCTGCTCTCTCCTCCTATCAGCATGCTTGCACTAGAGCACAACTGATTGGCACCTTGTGCTGTGCGTTTTCTGGGTCACATGTGGTAAAAATACAATACTACCCATTGCCATCGGCACTATGGGGTAGCACGGTGGGGGGGGGGGGGCTTTAAAGTGGAACTGCTCTGTACCTGAGAAACAAAAGCCAATAACTCAATCCATTTTTAATAATCAAAGCAAAGTCCCCCATCCATCCACATCTCTAGGATTTATTTTGCTCAGGAATCACATTGAAAAACACCTCCTAGCATTTTTGGTCATGGCCATCTTGAGTAGGGACAGATGATTCATGTAACATTTACTTCCAGGCATGCAGGCAGGAGGGTGTGCCTAGCTGAGAAAGCCCCTTCCCCCTCCTGAAGACTCCTGGGATGGATGACATAGTTTGCCCAGGCATGGAAACCAGGACATAACTGAAAAAAATGTAAAAAAAAAGTTTAATGTAGCATTTACTTCCCAGAATTCATCTGCTCTTAGCTCAGGCATGCAGGCAGGAGGGTGTGCTTAGCTGATAAAGCCTCTTCTCCCCTCCTGAAGACTCCTGGGATGGATGACATAGTTTGCCTAGGCATGGAAACCAGGAAGTAACTGAAGAAATGTAAAAAAAAAGTTTCATGTAACATTTACCTCCTAGAATTCATCTGCCCTTAGCTCAGGCATGCAGACAGGAGGGTGTGCTTAGCTAGAGAAAGCCTCTTCTACCCTCCTGAAGACTCCTGGGATGGATGACATAGTTTGCCTAGGCATGAAAACCAGGAAGTAACTGAAGCAATGGAAGAAAAAAAGGTTTAAAACAAGTAAATAAAATATAACTTCCTATCTATTTACTAATATTAGCAGCATGAGGATTACAAATAGTCAGTGTTGATTGAGAGAGTTCTACTTTAATGCCACACTGCCATATACACAATAGTATGGTATGGTACAGGAACTGAGCTGTCACCAAAAGCTCCTGGCCATTGTTTTCAATTGGGAGCCGGTAAGGCATTGTTTCAATCATGTGACCACTGTGCAAGCCAATCACAATGATCATCGATGTTTGGGAAGCCCAGGAAATGCCAAAGATTTTTTTTTTTACATATTTTAAACTTTTTCTGTCATTAATCCCTCACCCTCCAGAGTATGCCCCCCCCCCCCTTCCTGACCAGGCCATACAATACGGCGCTGTGTTACTTTAACCACTTGAGCCCCAGAGGATTTACCCCCCCTTAATGACCACGCCTTTTTTTGCTGTTTGGCGCTGCACTAATTCAAATGATAATTGCGCGGTCATGCAATGCTGCACCCAAACGAAATTTACGTCCTTTTTTTTTCACACAAATAGAGAGCTTTCTTTTGGTGGTATTTGATCATCTGTGCTGCATGTTTTTGGTAAAAAAATTTTTTTTTTTTGCGCTGGAAGTTATATCTAAAACTAAAATATGAAAATTTTGCACTAAAAAAAAACAATGCTGCACCCAAACAAAATTTTCTTTTTTTCACACAAATACTTTTGGTGGTATTTGATCAGCTATAAAAAAATATATGAAAATTTTAAACTCAATTTTCTACTTTAAGCATAAAAAAATAAATTTCATAATTTAAGCCAAAATGTATTCTGCTACATGTTTTTGGTAAAAAAAATCTCGTGCATTAGCGGGCAAACTATGGGGCGCTATTGCTAGGAGGGGCGCTAACACTATCGGAAGTCACCAGTGACACTAATACAGTGATCAGTGAAAAAAATCAATATGTTCACTGTAATAAAAAAAATGACACTGGTGACAGGGCAGTGAAGGGGTTTAACTTGGGGGGGGGGCGATCAAGGGGTTTTAAATGGGATTTCTGGTGCACTAGCGGGCAAACTGGCGCTATCTGGGAGGGGCGCTAACACTATTGGAAGTCGCCAGCGACACTGATACAGTGATCAGTAAAAATCTGTTCACTGTAATCAGTGACACTGGTGAACAGTGCAGTGAAGGGGTCAACTCAGGGGGGGGGGGCGATTTCTGGTGCACTAGCGGGCAAACTGGCGCTATCTGGGAGGGCGCTTATTGGAAGGCCAGCGACACTATACAGTGATCAGTAAAAATTGTATTAGCGGTGCAATGACAGTGCAGTGGCGTCTATCTGGGAGGGGCGATCTAATGGGATTACTATCGGGCAAGTCTGGCGCCACTAACACTATCGGAAAGTCGCCAGCTGACACTGATACAGTGATTGGTAAAAATTGGTTCACTGATCAGTGACACTGGTAACAGGGCAGTGAAGGGGTTAACGGGGGGGGGCAATCAAGGGGTTAAACGGGATTACTGGTGCACTGGCGGGCAATCTGGCGCTATCTGGTAGGGGCGCTAACACTATTGGAAGTCGCCAGCGACACTGATACAGTGATCAGTAAAAATCGCTTCACTGATCAGTGACACTGGTGACAGGGCAGTGAAGGGGTTAACTGGGGGGGGGAGATTAAGGGGTTAAATGGGATTACTGGTGTACTAGCGGGCAATCTGGCGCTATCTGGGAGGGGCGCTAACACTATCGGAAGTCGCCAGCGACATTGATACAGTGATCAGTAAAAATTGGTTCACTGATCAGTGACACTGGTGACAGGGCAGTGAAGGGGTTAACTGGGGGGGGGGGGGGCGATCAAGGGGTTAAACGGGATTACTGGTGTACTGGCGGGCAAACTGGCGCTATCTGGGAGGGGCGCTAACACTATCGGAAGTCGCTAGCGACACTGATACAGTGATCAGTAAAAATTGGTTCACTGATCAGTGACACTGGTGACAGGGCAGTGAAGGGGTTAACTGGGGGGGGGGGGGCGATCAGGGGGTTAAATGTGTCCTAGAGTGTTCTAACTGTAGTGTAGTGCTTTGTACTCACTTTTTGGATGTCTTCTTCTCTGTCTGGAACGGAATGTGTCCAGGCAGAGAAGAATGACATCATATCCTGCCCTGTGTAAATATCAACACAGGACAGGATAGGACAGGGACCGATCATGTGATTTCAGCCAGAAATCACTGGCTGAAATGTAATGATTGATCCCTCCAGGATCGAATCGTATCACCCGCGGGTCGGCGGAGAGCGCGCGCGCGCGCGCCCCCTACTCGCGAATGTGTCGAGAGCGCGGAGCACGTTTTAAAACGTGCTTTTGCGCTCCCACTGCCGCCCTGCACACGTATATACACAGTGGCAGGGCGGCAAGCGGTTAACTGACAATTGCGTAGTCATGCAATGCTGCACCCAAATTTAATTTACGTCCTTTTTTCCCCACGAATTGAGCTTTCTTTCGGTGGTATTTGATCGTCTCTGCATTCTTTATTTTTTGCGCTATAAAAAAAAAAGATTGACAATTTTGGGGGGAAAAAAACAATATTTTTGGCTATTAAACATATCCAGTAAAAAATTTAAAAAAATAAAATTTCATCATAAATTTACGACAAAATGTATTCTGCTCCGTGCCTTTGCTAAAAAAATAATCCCAATACGTGTAAATTAATTGGTTTACGTGACAGTTATAGTGTCTACAAATGGTGGTATATATACTTGGAATTTCGTTTTTCATTTTTCATTTTTACTAATAATGGCAGTGATCAGTGACTAATAGCGGGACTGCGGCAGAGATTCTGACACTGGGGGGGGAACTGACTTGGTGTCACTGACATCCCCAGTGACACCAATACAATGATCAGTGCTAATAAAAAGCACTGACACTATACTAATGGCACTGGGCAGGAAGGGGTTAACATCTGTGGCGATCAAATGGTTAACTGTGTGCTGTGTGTGTTTTACTGTGTAAGCATGCTGCTTTGTATTATTATTATTATTATTATTATACAGGATTTATATAGCGCCGACAGTTTGCTCAGGGCCTTACATTACAGATGGAGACAGTACAGTAACAATACAGTTCAATACAAGATGGATTAGAGGGCCCTGCTCCTTGGAGCTTGTATTGGTCTGATATGCAGAGCCATACAAAGCAGTGTGCAGGAGCTGACAGGGGAGAGATCTGTAGTGTTTACATACAGACCTCTCCCCCGTCAGTGATACTCGGTGATCGGTGGGTGCTGACAGGGAATCACTGGCCGGGACCCGGTGATTGGCAGCTGAAGCTGCCAATGGCGGCGCGGGTAGAGCGCATGCGCAGCCCCTACCCAGAAATGCAAAATCACGTATATATCAAAGGGTTAACTGTGTTCATGAGTGTTTTACTGGGGGGAGGTGTCTGTGTGCTTCACTGTAATCACACTGCTTTGGATGGCTGTGCTGTGCACAGCCATCCAGAGCAGTGTACCCGAGCTGACAGGGAGGAGAACTGTTAGTAAACAAAACAGTTCTCCTCCTCGTCGGAGATGTTCGGAAATCACTGGGCCGGGAGCCGGTGATTGACAGCCGTGGCCGCGAATGGCAGTGCGGGTAGGGTGTGTACACGTGTGGCCCGTGCACGCCCCCTACCCGGGAGTGCAAAATCACATATCATATGTGATTTTGCGCCCAAGTGCTGCCCTGTAGCAGTATTTCTGCTATAGGGCGGTCGGGAAGTGGTTAAGATACAGGGCACGGGGTCCAAGAGCCGGGATGGATATTATTCTGTATAAAACTCAGTTTAGGTTATTGCAACCGGGAAAAAAAAAAGAGCAAACACAAAAAACTCACACTCTATAAAACGCCAGGGAGGTGTGGAAGGAATAGGTGATGGGAACAGATTTAATTCCACCTTAAGTTCGTCTCCTCGTCTGCAGCGCCTGCCTGTCAAACTGACAGCGCAGGGACGAATGGGGCTAACAGGCCAATCACATCATCTTGACTGACATTTTCCAGGAGGCAGTTTTTCCCTAGAGTCTAAACAAGTGAACACCGCCGTGTTAAATGATGTCTCACTCCCCGCAGCACTCCTACCTCAGTACATTTAACATTATTCTCAGTATTCTTTAACCGTTTCAATACCGGGCAATTTTACACCTTCCTGCCCAGGCCAGTTTTCAGGTTTCAGCGCTCTCACACTTTGAATGACAATTGCGCGGTCATACAACATTGTACCCAAACTAAAATTTTATCATTTTCTTCACACAAATAGAGCTTTCTTTTGGTGGTATTTAATCACCGCTGGGGTTTTTATTTTTTGCTAAATTAACAAAAAAAGACCAAAAATTTTGAAAAAAAAAAAACACATTTTTCTTTGCTTCTGTTATAAAAGTTTACAAATAAATAATTGTTCTTCATAAATTTAGGCCGAGATGTATTCTGCTACATGTCTTTGGTGAAAATAACCCAAATTAGGATGTATTTTTTAGTTTGTAGGAACGTTATAGAGTTCACAAACTATGGTATAGATCTGAATATTGATCAATCCTGAAGTACTGACAGCCAATCTAATATCTTGAGGTCCAAGACTGTCAGAACAGATACAGATATACCCCCAAATGACCCCTTTTTGCAGAGTAGACAGTCCGACATACTTCATAAGAGGCATGGCGAGTTTTTTGAAGTTGTATTTTTTTGTCATAATTTTTCGGAAAATGAAAAAATTAAAAAAATTATTTTCACTATTTTTTTTTTTACATACTGTCACCAGTGCAGTACAGCATCATCATATAACTGGCATGGCGGTGAACAGCGACACTGACTGGTGACAGTATGAAAAAAAAATATATATATATTTTTTTCATTTTTTTTTATTTTTTTATTATATTTAATTTTTTCTTACATTTTTTTTATTTTTTTTAAGATTTTTTTTCATATTTTACTATGACCAAAATAGTACAATGTTACCATAGTAACACTGTACTACTTTGGGGAAGTGATCAGTATTTTTTTCTTTTTTTTTTTTACACAATTTGCTTATAGCAAAGAATTACTTTGCTATAAGCAAGCATTTACCTGAATGAAATCGATTCATTCAGCTTTTTTTTTTTTTTTTTGTGCTTAGCTGTGATTTGGTCACAGCTAATCACATGACATGTGCATGTGATTAGCTGTGACCATTCACAGCTAGGCACTAGTATACAATGGATGGCATCATGAATGAAGCCATCCATTGTATACAACTGTCATGTGACCTGCTGTGATTGGTCACAGCAGGTCACATGGTACCAGCAACGGGAGCCGGTACTCGGATCTGTCATCGGCCGTGTCCGAGGTGCACGGGCGGTGACAGATTGCACTCGTCGCTCTGCAACCGCGCAAACCGCGCATGTGCGGGAGCACGCCAAATGGCGTGCACCCGGAAAGCTGCAGCGCTTTTCAAGCCGCCAAACGGCCATTGGCCGGGCGGCTAACGGTTAAAGGGTCAGTCCACAAAAAACTGCAATCTCCTCGGGTAAACATTCCTTTTAACTCTGGGATGCCATGAACACCTCAACGTTCACATCAACAAAGCCAGTAAATATAGTATGAAGACCTCATTTTGCTACATAAAAAAAGATTTCAAATCTAGTAGGTGGGTGGTGTAGGAGGCACTTCCTAAAGACTTTTATTAAGCCTTTTATGACGTATCCTTTATGTTCAAAATCCTCGAGTGGTTACATTTTCATATATATACAAAAGCCAACTTTGTTTGTTTTGGATAGAGTAAGGAAGGGTAAGACCGGCCTCTCCCAACCTTTTTACCCCAGAGGAACCCTTGAAATTATTTTCGGATCTTTGAGAACTACTGCTGAAACCAATTAATTGGTGGTCAGAATGCCCCTCACAGTGGTGGTCAGCATGTCCCCCTTACAGACACTCCAAAAACAGATATCAAATCTAGTAGGTGGTGGGGTAGGAGGCACTTCCTAAAGATCTTTTTTAAGCCTTTTATGACGTATCCTTTATGTTCAAAATCCTCGAGTGGTTACATTTTCATATATATGCAAAAGCCAACTTTGTTTCTTTTGGATAGAGTAAGGAAGGGTAAGACCAGCCTCTCCCAACCTTTTTACCCCAGAGGAACCCTTGAAATAATTTTCGTATCTTTGAGAACCACTGCTGAAACCAATTAATTGGTGGTCAGAATGCCCCTCACAGTGGTGGTCAGAATATTCCCCTTACAGACACTCCAAAAACAGATTTCAAATCTAGTAGGTGGTGGGGTAGGAGGCACTTATGAAGACCTCATTGCTACATCCCTCCAAAAAAGATTTCAAATCTAGTAGGTGGTGGGGTAGGAGGCACTTCCTAAAGACTTTTGTTAAGCTTTTTATGACGTATCCTTTATGTTCAAAATCCTCGAGTGGTTACATTTTCATATATATACAAAAGCCAACTTTGTTTGTTTTGGATAGGGTAAGGAAGGGTAAGACCGGCCTCTCCCAACCTTTTTACCCCAGAAGAACCTTTGAAATAATTTTCGTATCTTTGAGAACCACTGCTAAAACCAATTAATTGGTGGTCAGAATGCCCCTCACAGTGGTAGTCAGAATATTCCCCTTACAGACACTTTAGAACATGGGTGTCAAACCCTCCAGCTGTTGCCAAACTACAAGTCCCACAAGGCATTGCAAGATTGACAGTTAGCAGCATGACTCCCAAAGGATTTCAAATCTAGTAGGTGGTGGGGTAGGAGGCACTTATGAAGACCTCATTGCTACATCCCTCAAAAAAAGATTTCAAATCTAGTAGGTGGTGGGGTAGGAGGCACTTATGAAGACCTCATTGCTACATCCCTCCAAAAAAGATTTCAAATCTAGTAGGTGGGGGGGGTAGGAGGCGCTTCCTGACGACTTTTTTTAAGCCTTTTATTATGTTTTTCTTTATGTTCAAAATCCTCGAGTGGTTACATTTTCAAAATATATGGAAAAAGCCAACTTTGTTTGTTTTGGATAGAGTAAGGAAGGGTAAGACAGGCATCTCCCAACCGTTTTACCCCAGAGGAACCCTTGAAATAATTTTCGTATCTTTGTGAACCACTGCTGAAACCAATAAATTGGTGGTCAGAATGCCCCTCACAGTGGTGGTCAGAATATTCCCCTTACAGACACTCCAAAAACAGATTTCAAATCTAGTAGGTGGTGGGGTAGGAGGCACTTATGAAGACCTCATTGCTACATCCCTCCGAAAAAGATTTCAAATCTAGTAGGTGGTGGGGTAGGAGGCACTTCCTAAAGACCTTTTTTAAGCCTTTTATGATGTATCCTTTATGTTCAAAATCCTCGAGTGGTTACATTTTCATATATATGCAAAAGCCAACTTTGTTTGTTTTGGATAGAGTAAGGAAGGGTAAGATCGGCCTCTCCCAACCTTGTTTTTACCCCAGAGGAACCCTTGAAATAATTTTCGTATCTTTGTGAACCACTGCTGAAACCAATTAATTGGTGGTCAGAATGCCCCTCACAGTGGCGGTCAGCATGTCCCCCTTACAGACACTCCAACAACAGATTTCAAATCTAGTAGGTGGTGGGGTAGGAGACACTTCCTAAAGACTTTTGTTAAGCTTTTTATGACGTATCCTTTATGTTCAAAATCCTCGAGTGGTTACATTTTCATATATATGCAAAAGCAAACTGTTTGTTTTGGATAGAGTAAGGAAGGGTAAGATCGGCCTCTTCCAACCTTTTTACCCCAGAGGAACCCTTGAAATAATTTTCGTATCTTTGAGATCCACTGCTGAAACCAATTAATTGGTGGTCAGAATGCCCCTCACAGTGGTGGTCAGAATGTCCCCCTTACAGACACTTTAGAACATGGGTGTCAAACTGACGGCCCTCCAGCTGTTGCCAAACTACAAGTCCCACAAGGCATTGCAAGATTGACAGTTAGCAGCATGACTCCCAAAGGAAGAGGGACTTGTAGTTTTGACAGCTGGAGGGCCACCAGTTTGACACCCCTGCTTTAGAAGATCATTGTGTCAGGACCTGGGTTTGGACCTGCGACCTCTACGGTGACTGGTTGCGGATCTTCCCACTGTGCCACCAGTGATGCTGGGCAGCTCCCTGGCTGAATCCTCGGACAACTTTACCCTGTCTCTTATTTGTCTTGAAACTTGAACCCTTTGCTCCTCCCATTAACTCCCTGATTTAAGCCACATCTCTGCATTTCCTGTTTGCCAGATTATTGTGCTCTCTGCAGCCAATATATTGCTACATGCATACTGTGACGGACAGCTTTGCACCCTGACTGGGTGCTTTCATCAGAGATCTGCTTGCTTGCCGCTGGGCCAAAGGACTAAGGTATTATAGCTGGGTATTGCACCCCAAGAACTAGACGAAACTAGCTTAGGTGCAAACTGGGACTTTTTATTGAACAGAAATACAGGTTTTTATACACCAAAAATAGGGGCAGTCCCCACATGAACAATAAAAAGAAACATTACACATTGTGATAAACATCCCACACTGATTAGGTAATGAGGTCAAGTTGACACAAGACTAAACCCATCATGTGGGAACCTCCAGGAGGACTAGCTAACAGACAGAAACATTAGGTGACTCAGTTAACTCAAATAACAATGGGACAAAGACACAATGGTAAACATATTACACCTTAATAAACAGATTACAGCAAGAGACCTCAGCATCGGGTTGTTTTGAGCTGATTATCTGCTTAGAGTCTCTGAATCTAGGAGGATGGTTGAAGCAGTCAATGCTGGTTTGGGCACAGGCACCCCAAATCTATATCTTGGTCCTCCAGTTCCCAGAGTCTGTGTGTGTTTTGGGGAGACATGGACTTGAATCTGAGGTAAAACTACTCCAAAAGGTCCCCCCAGGCACACACCTGCCATAGAATAGAGCCCCGTCAAACGCCAGGGCCCAAAGTAGGCAAGAGGGAAGCCTGCAGTCTCCTCCAAAAGACCTTGTCCCAGTTGGGTCTGTCGTACATATTTGCTGCTGTCCTTATCTTCGCTACCTTGTTACCGACCCTTGGCTTGTTCATCGACTGCGCTTTCATCTGATCCCATCCAGGGTCACAATCAGGGCTCAGGCTCGAACACCAGTTCATGATAAATTAGAGGCTCATCATTAATATGGATGCTCAATCCACCTCATCACCAAGATGCTAAGCCGCTGTGGAATATAGGAGAGTAGGGACAGTGAGGAGCGGTTAGGGTGGAGGAGACCACCAGGATGTACTCCGCTGTGGTGGCCCGCTGTAGGATTCCGAGCGGGTGGTGTCGGCCTCTGACATCATCCAAATGCAACGCGTTTCTGAGCATTCGCAAGGTCTGATGTAGACCAGTGCGCTCCTTTCTCAAGCATGTAATACAGTATGCATAAGAGCTAAAAAACTGACCACCCGTGAAATTTATAAGATATATGTTGATATGTAGACCACCCACAAGAGAAAACCTGAGAAAGAGGCCATACTCCAGAGTGTGGACACTGTCATCTGACAAACCCCACTAGCCCATTTTCCCTAGCCTGGAATGAGCATGGCAGACAGGGCTGGAACATGAAAATTCATCCAAAGCACAATATGCCCAGCTACGCTTGCAAGACTCCTGGTTCTTCTCTGGATGCAGAGAATTCAGGTGCAGAATAAAGGACTCTAGAAGTCTTTATCTGTTCAGCTTTTGTTATCACAGCATATTACTGCCATGCCAGAAGAGCACTTGGCCAGCATCAACCAACAATGTACTCAAACTGTTCCATCCCCTTCTCCATCATTGGATTCCTACTACTGGATTCATTAAGACTCTCTGTGGACTTTTGGTCTGCAGGTTCCATGCGCCTATGATTTCCTTGCAGTGGACAGGGGTCAGCAGGTCAGTGGAGAGGGGTCAGCAGGGCAGTGGACAGGGGTGTCAGCAGGGCAGTGGATCGTGGTCAGCAGGACAGAGGAGAGGGGCCAACAGGGCAGTGGAGAGGGGTCAGCAGGTCAGTGGAGAGGGGTCAGCAGGGCAGTGGAGAGGGGTCAGCAGGGCAGTGGACAGGGGTCAGCAAGACAGTGGAGAGGGGTCAGCAGGGCAGTGGAGAGGGGTCAGCAGGGCAGTGGATAGGAGTCAGCAGGACAGTGGAGAGGGGTCAGCAGGGCAGTGGAGAGGGGTCAGCAGGTCAGTGGACAGGGGGTCAGCAGGACAGTGGAGAGAGGGGTCAGCAGGGCAGTGGACAGGGGTCAGCATGGAAGTGTACAAGGGGTCAACAGGGCAGCAGACAAAGGTTAATAGGGCAGTGTAGGGTAGAGTGGTCAAAAGAGAAGTGGATAGGGTCAGTGCTGGCAGGGACCTTCCCAGCACAAATCCCCCCTCCACCCCCCCCCTCCTAATACAAATATCCTCCTCATCCCCCCTCCCAGCATAAATCCCCTCCCCCCAATCCTGCCTCCTAACACATACCCTTTCCCTATTTCCTCCTTCCAGGAAAACCCCTCCACTTACTTCTCAATCAAAGCACAAATTATAATTCACCTCTCATTCCCCCTTCCCCCCCCCCCAATACAATTCCCAACCCCCTCCCCCTGAATCTTACAGGTTTCCTGCCTGTACAGGAGAAGTGGCAGTGGTTCAGGCAGAGCTGTGTTCTCTCTCTCCTGTCATAACAGCGATTCTTCATCATACAGTAGATTATACTGGATCACCCTAACATCGGACTCAGCACTGTAGAATTACCCATCTGCATTTCCTTCTGCAGGGAGAACAGCAGTCATTGAGATGGGGGGGGGGGTGGTTATTGTGTAATTAACTTCACTGTGCTGGCCATTCTCCCTCTTGTGCGTGGGCGCAATGTCCTTAGGAGGGCCAGCCTGGGGGGGGGGGCACGACTGAAATATACTCTAGGGGGGTGCAGCCCAGCCTGCCCCAGCACCCCCCTAGATCCAGCAATACTTTCTTCCTAGTCTGCCACAGTGCTCTGTCCTGCTGCTGCAGAGTGACAGCAGGAGCAGGCCAGAGCAGCCACCCTTTGGCAGGTGTCACCCGGGTGCGGTTTACACCCCCTCACCCCTATAGCGACGCTATGACTAAGGCCGTATTTACCACAAGGCAAGCAAGGCACTTGCCTACGGCGGCATTTTTAATGGGGGCAGCACCTCCTCCAGAAGAGGGGATGAAAGAAGGGACATGCGCACCGTGGGAACCAGGCAGGATCTGAGAGAGGCTGCGGGCTGCTTGATGGTGTATGTAGAGCCTTCCTCTCGTTCCTGGGGATGTCCGGAGCTGTGAAGATGAGTGTCGCTCTATCGCCAGGAGGGGGGGTAGTGGAAGGCTCTCTTGGGTGGGGGGCAGGGGTGTTGTTGGTCAATGTCAGGCTCTTCCTGTGGAAGAGGGAAGGGGGGTTGTGCTGGTTGGTGTCTGTGGGGGCAGACGATTTTTGTGTTGCCTAGGGCAGCACAAAACCTAAATACACCACTGGCCACGACTACAAATGGCAAGACATCATGCCAAAACAAGACTTGCAAATTCATTTCACCCTCTAGGTGCCCCATACTCAGGGGGGGCTGACCATTCATACACTCGGGCACTGCCCGAGGGCCCGGGGTCAGTAGGGGGCCCCATGAAATGCCCCTGTTACCTTTTTATAGGCTTTTTTGGGTGTGCTTTTTGAGTGTGGGAAAGGACACAGGGGCCCAATGATCCCCTACTGCCCGGTGATCCCATGAGTTGTCAGTCCGCCCCTGCCCACACTAGTAAAATTCACCATTCAGGGCTCATTCAGACTTGTCCGCTCCGGGGTGTCATGCCAAGTGTTAATGTTCATTGCATTAAGGCCGCCATTTTAAGTAAATTAGACTGCCAAGTCAAAGAAGGGGCAAAAATTTAGACCCGCGCCAATTTCCCCGGTGAAGCACACCACAACGCCCAGTAGTGTGTTGTGATGTGGGAAGGACGAGGTCACCTGACACTTCCAGTGGAATGGGATGGAATAAAAAAAAGTTAAAAAAAATGTCCATGAATTGCTGGTGTGACTGGAATGAAAAAAATGTCCCTGTGCTAGTGGTGCCACTGAAAGGAAGAATGTCCCTGAGCCAGATCTGGCTTTTTGTTTCTCCACTTTTTTTGCGTCCTACCAACACAAATCAAAGAAATGAACACGAGAATGCCGAAACATTTGTAATTGCGACAATTTTCTGGGTGAAGTGGTGCGTTATCTGCAGGGGGGGCCAATTTTTTGGGCCATGACTGTAATAGTAATGGTGTCACAAATCCCAGAGTTTATTATTACTATTATACAGGATTTATATATTATTATTATACAGGATTTATATATTATTATTATACAGGATTTATGGCGCCAACGGTTTGCTCAGCGCTTTACATTGTAGTGGGAGACAATACAGCAACAATACAGTTCAATACAAGAGGGAGTTGAGGGCCTGATCCTTGGAGCTTACAATCTAGCAGGGAGGGGTGAGTGGTACAATAGGTAAAACTGTGGGGGACGGAGTGGTTGGAAGCGTAGAGGATTCCAGTATTAGCTGAGGGCGGGATAGGCTTCCCTAAAGAGATAGGTTTTCAATGATCGCCTAAAGGTAAGTAGAGTGGGTGACAGTCTGATAGATTGGGGTAGGGAGTTCCAGAGGATGGGTGACGCCCTGGAGAAGTCTTGGAGATGAGCATGGAAGGAGGAGATAAGGGAGCCAAAGAGTAGGAGGTCTTGCGAGGAGCGGAGAGTATGGTTTTGGCGATATTTAGAGACAAGATCGGATATGTAAATTGGGGCAGTGTTGTGGATGGCTTTATATGTCATTGTTAGTGTTTTGAATTTTATCCGTTGGGCAACCGGGAGCCAGTGGAGGGATTGGCAGAGAGGGATGATGGAGGACACTGAGTGGAGGCCAGTGGAGGGATTGGCAGAGAGGGATGGAGGACACTGAGTGGAGGCCAGTGGAGGGATTGGCAGGGAGGGATGGAGGACACTGAGTGAAGGCCAGCTGGAGGGATTGGCAGAGAGGGATGGAGGACATTGAGTGGAGGCCAGTGGAGGGATTGGCAGAGAGGGATGGAGGACACTGAGTGGAGGCCAGTGGAGGGATTGGCAGAGAGGGATGGAGGACATGGAGTGAAGGCCAGCTGGAGGGATTGGCAGAGAGGGATGGAGGACACTGAGTGGAGGCCAGTGGAGGGATTGGCAGAGAGGGATGGAGGACACTGAGTGGAGGCCAGTGGAGGGATTGGCAGAGAGGGATGGAGGACACTGAGTGGGTCAGTGGAGGGATTGGCAGATACAGTTAGGAAGGTGGATGAGTCTGGCAGCAGCATTCATGATAGACTGAAGAGGGGATAGCCTGCGATGCAGTCGGCCAATGAGGAGGGAGTTACAATAGTCAAGGCGAGATATAACAAGGGAGGGAATACGTTGCTTAGTGGTTTCCAAGGTTAGGAACGGGCGTATCTTGGAGATGTTGCGGAGGTGAAGTCTACAGGATTTTGTCACCGATTGGATCTGGGGCTGGAATGACAGATGGGAGTCTAGGATTACACCTAGTACCCTGGCATGAGGGGAGGGACTGATGATTGTGTTACTGATATTTATGGTGAGGTCAGGGGAGGGGGCATGGGCTGGGGGGAATACTAGGAGCTCAGTTTTGGAAAGATTGAGTTTGAGGAAGTGGAGTGACATCCATGCCGATATGTCACTTAGTAGGCTAGTGATGCAAGTGGAGACTGAAGGGGTGAGGTGAGGAGGAGACTGAAGGGGTGAGGTGAGGAGGAGACTGAAGGGGTGAGGTGAGGAGGAGACTGAAGGGGTGAGGTGAGGGGTAGACAGATAGATTTGTGTGTCATCAGCATAGAGATGGTACTTCAAGCCGTGGGAGTTTATCAAGTGACCAAGGGAGGAGGTGTAGATGGAGAAGAGAAGGGGTCCAAGTTTATGGAGGAGAAAACCAAACTTTCTAAGAAGAAAAAAGTTCTCTGCACTGCGAATGCATTATCCAATGTCACGTCTACTTTTGAAACCAATTCCTTTCTATCAACTAAAATGAACAGAACAGTTCTCTATAAAAGTCTGACGGAGGAAGAGGCATCTGAAGGGTTCAGCGCAAGTGGTGGCGGAGCCCTTTGGCGGCGATTTGCATAGCTTTTCCGGAGACTTCCCGGAGAAGGAGATGAAGTTTCATCCTCTAATGCAGAGAGCGACTTTAAAAAGGATGCAAATGAGCCGGCGGAGCTCGGGCCGCTTTCTCTGTGTAGTCTTCTCCGGTGAGAAGCCCAGCCTGCTCGTCGTAATTAGCCGGACCCCGCTACAAACCGCCTGTTCTGTTTTTTGAAGGGAAAAAAAAAATGGCAGATTCAGGTCACAGAGAAGAATTCCTGCTGGAGCTCGCTTCTTCCGAAGACATTTTCACATTACTTGTAACCAGCAGGGGTTTGGTCTGCCTACAGCGAAAGAAATCCATTAGCATCCCTTAGAATGATAACCAAATCTGGAGGCGTCGGGGGTCATGGGTAAAAAAAAAAAAAAAAGACGCGGAGGCAAAGTGTGATTAGAAAATGGAGTTTATTCAACTTCTATTGATAAAGAGCAAAGAAAGGAGAGCGGGGGAGGGGAGAAGGAGCTCCTGATGAACAAAGCTGCTAAATTACACATTCTTCCAAGGGCAGCCCAACTTTGTCAACGCCGGTCAGCCCGACTCGATGAAACTTTTTTTTTTAGAGATGTAGCAACAATCAAAACCATTTTTACTTCCTTTATAGTCGATTGATAGATCTCCCCTTTCTACCCTCAAATGTAAAAATATGTTAACAGTCAAGAAGGCTACAGTCTCCAGATTTGGGATTTAAAGGGTCACCAACCTGTTGATGTATCCAATCCATTTGAACCATTCAGATCTTCGTGTACCAGTGACGTGTTTTCTCAGACGTTGATACAAGATACGTTTACACATGAACCGCCCTGCCATGCATCTTGCATCTTGGAAAATGAACCGCCCTGCCATTCATTTTGAATGGCCCCTAATGCATTTTTACAGTAGAGCTGGGGTTTCCAAACTACACCCTGAGGGCCACATCTGGCCCTCAGCTAAAGTTAGTGGCATATCCTCAATGTCTGCAGATTGAAGATTCAGGTCCATGGAGGCTGTCTATGGTCAACCCCCCCCCCCCCCCACCACCACCACCACCACCACCGCCACCACACACACACAGTCTTCAGCGCATGTTCCTCCCCTCTGGGCTGTCATTGTTGTTGGTTACTAGGACTACACGAGGCCTTGGCACCACTCGCTTGTCATGGGCTAGACCAGGGGTAGGCAACCTGTGGCTCTCTAGCTGTTGAGGAACCTCATGAGGCTGATTAGACACTTTAGCTGGCTGATGGAACCCAGGGCCTAATTTTGGCTGAGACCCAGTTTGGTTACCAATCCTCACAGTGGTCTCCAAACTGCTGCCCATGGGCCAAAAGCTGTCCTTTGCTCACCTGCATGCAGCTCTTAGGGCAATGTTCTTCACACTGATAAGAGGCAACTATTCCTCCCACAGACACCATTGATGGGGCTCATTCCTTCCACTGACACCAATGATGGGGCATCATTCCTTCCACTGACACCAACAATGGGGGATTATTCCTCCCACAGACACCATTGATGGGGCTCATTCCTTCCACTGACACCAATGATGGGGCACCATTCCTCCCACTGACACCAACAATGGGGGATTATTCCTTCCACTGACACCAATGATGGGGCACCATTCCTCCCACTGACACCAACAATGGGAGATTATTCCTCCCACAGACGCCAATGATGGGGCACCATTCCTCCCACTGACACCAACATGGGGGATTATTCCTCCCACAGACACCATTGATGGGGCTCATTCCTTCCACTGACACCAATGATGGGGCACCTTTCCTCCCACTGACACCAACAATGGGGGATTATTCCTCCCACAGACACCATTGATGGGGCTCATTCCTTCCACTGACACCAATGATGGGGCACCATTCCTCCCACTGACACCAACAAAGGGGGATTATTCCTCCCACAGACACCATTGATGGGGCTCATTCCTTCCACTGACACCAATGATGGGGCACCATTCCTCCCACTGACACCAACAATGGGGGGATTATTCCTTCCACTGACACCAATGATGGGGCACCATTCCTCCCACTGACACCAACAATAGGGGATTATTCCTCCTCCCGCTGACCACAGGCGCTATGTAATTTTTATACTACCACTTATCACCAAGCCTGAGACATTGTTACTCCCACTGATACTGGGGCATTTTCTACTCCAACCAGGGGTGGACTTACAACTCATGGGGCCCCCGGGCAATAGCAAATCATGGGGCCCCTGTGTCCTCACCCACACTCAAACCACACCCAAAAAAATTCCTATGAAAGGTACCAGGGGCATCTCATGGGGCCCTCTACTGACCCCGGTCCCGAGTGCCTAAATGGTCAGTCCCCCCCTGACTCCAACTGGTCACAGTCCGACCCTGCTAAAATCTGAAGGACTGAAAACTGGCCCTTTGTTTAGAAAGTTTGGAGACCCCTGGTCTAGCACATTGGCACCTTATTTATTTTCTTCACTTGTGAGTCACTGCACTTTTTTTCTGTGTCTTTTTGGATGGAATGGTAGGCTGTGGGCCTTCAGGCCTACCCTGAAGTCTAGGGGGGAGATGTGTAGCCCTTAGGTTCCTTCCTTCCCTGCCTGTCTGAGGAAGCTGGTGCTGGTTCTGGTGCTGGTGCTGGTGTATGTAAGTTTCTCTCTAATTTGGAAGAGCCCCTAACCTAGTACTTGGTGGTTGGCTTCAGCCCAACCATGAGGAGAGGGATCTGCAAGGCCTTTTGGCTAGGAGGACCAGAATGCCTTGACTCCATCATGAGTCTTGAACCCTATGGTTCCTCTTCAGGAGGGGACCAATGACCCTGTGCATTCTTTTGGTCTTTAGTATTTTGCGGCTCCAAAAAAAAAATAAACATGCCTAAAACCTAAAGGCCGGCAGCAAACTCAATCTCCGAATATAAACACATGAAAATGGTTAAACACATAAAAGGGTTAGTTGAGCATTTAAGCCCTCGTAAAACCCTAATTTCCATAATATCTCCCAGAATGCTCGGCTCTTCAGCTCCTTTCCTGTTTAATATAAATTTTAAAAGTCTAATAATTGCTGCAAAAAGAGAGAGGATTTTTTTTTTTAGCTTTTTTTTTATTTTTTTTTATTATTATTATTCTGAAGCCGTCTGCCGGGCAAAGCTACTCCTGTATTAAATTAATGTACCATTTGAACACACATTTTATGGACCTTGTCAGGACCCATCTGCCGCTGCGCGGTTGCGAAAAATCGCTACGAAAATGTCAAGCAGGAAATAAGAAAGGTCTAATGGCTGAAAAGGCACTTCCTTCGTAATTCATTGACACTTTTCTTCTTCATTTCTTTTTTTCTTGCAGCATGATGTCTTCTTTTTCAGCTCTGAGGCCGTATTGAAATTTTTACACTTCATATATAAATGGTGACCTCCCAGAGCAAAAGCCCCTCGCACTGGGGGGTCCAAAGAAGAATTCCAATTAGGAACCTGTAGGCACAGTGTATATGGCATTACTAGCATAAACAGAAGACAAAGACAAGAAAAACCTTTTCTTCAACAATCAGTAAAGGTGCTGATTGCACTACCTGGTGTATAGGTAGGTGATAAAGCAAAAAAACTGAAAAATAAATAGGAAAAATAGTCTTTTATAACCTGCTTTAATGAAAACTTTTGAATGATAATAATTATTTATTGTACGCCCCCTGAGGGTTAGGGACTGATGTGAATGTACAATATATATGCATGTAAATTGATGGCGCTATATAAGTATCTGTAATAATAATAATCATTTTAGAATAGATAGATATGATTTATCTTTCCTCCGTGTTTTTGTGAGTGTCTCTATAACTTTTTGGTTTTGTATGGATATCTCTTAGATTGTTAGCTCCCAGGATCAGGGCCCTCCTAACCCTCTTATATTGATCTGTATTGTTGCTGTATTGTCTCCCTTTATATTGTAAAAGCGCTGAGCAAACTGTTGGCGCCATAAATCCTGTATAATAATAATAATATATAAATCCTGTATAATAATAATAATATATAAATCCTGTATAATAATAATAACATATAAATCCTGTATAATAATAATAATATATAAATCTTGTATAATAATAATAATATATAAATCCTGTATAATAATAATATATAAATCTTGTATAATAATAATAATAATAATATAAATCCTGTATAATAATAATATTTATAAATCCTGTATAATAATAAT